TATTATATATATATATATATATATATATATATACAGAAAAAAAGAAACAACAAGAAGACGAAACAAAGACAGCAAAGGAGACAAGAAAGGAGACAAAAAGGAGACAGAAGGAGACAAAAAAATAAAAAAAAATAAAAAAAAAAATAAAAAAAATAAAAAAAAAGTTTTACCTGGCCTGTAATTTTGTCTTTACATAAAATGACTTCTCCAAAGCTCCCCTTCCCCAAGACACGCTGACCTTTATACCTAAACAAAAAAAAAAATAAAATAAAAAAAAATAAAAAAATAAAAAAATAAAATAAAAATAAATAAATAAATATATAAATATATTTATTAATGTATATATAAATATAAATATATATGTGTACAAACAAAGACAAGCGAAAAAACAAATTCAACAGGAGACAAAGTGCAGCAGCTAGCTGCTGCTAGCTGCTGCAGCTAGCTGCTGTTGCTGCTCACCGCAGCTAGCTGCTGCTGCTGCTGCCTGCAGCAGCAGCTAGCTGCACAGGAACAGCTAGCTGGGGCTGGCTAGCTGTAGAGCGAGAGGGAGAGAAGAAGCAACAAACCCAAGAGAGACAAAAAGAAAAAAAACAAAAAAAAAAACTAAAAGAAAGGAGAAGACAACAGCAAAAGAGGAGAGACAGCAACAAAGAAAAAGAAAAATAAAAATAAACAACAACAAAAGATAAAAAAAAAAAAAAAAACAAAGACAAAGACAAAGACAAACCTGTCGCTGAATGCAGCAGTGGAGTGCTGCACGAACATCCCTGGGGTTGCTGCTAGCTTATCTCCCGTTGAGGCAGCTGCAGCAGAACACAAACAAACCACATTGCTGCTGCTGCTGCTGCTGCTGTTGCTGCTGCTGATGTTGTTGTTCATGCTGCTGTTGTTGCTGCGGCTCGTGCTGGCGCTGCTGCTGCTGCTGCTGCTGCTGCTGCTGCTCGTATGGCGGCTATAAGCCTTCACAAAGACAACTCAAAGCAGCAAGCTAGCAGCAGCAGCAAGCGCAGCAGCAGCAGCAGCAGCAGCTGCTGCTGCTGCTGCTGCTGTCAGTGCTGCTGTCTGCTTCATATGAGCCACGGATTCTATCAGGATCTTGCTGCAGCAGCAGCTGCTGCTGCTGACGTGGCTGCAGCAGCTGCTGCTGCTGCTGTTGCTGCCGCTGTTGCTGCAGCTGTGCGGCGAACCGCCAGCAGCCCAGCTGAGCTTAACAGCAGCAGCAGCAGCAGCAGCTGATGCAGGGAGCAGCAGCAGCAGCAGCACATGTCAGCAGCAGCATAAACCTCTGCTGCAGCAGCAGCAACGGCTCCCCCGCTGGCTGGGAGATCGGTGAAGGCCCCCGCGAAGAACAGCAGCAAGAGCAGCAGCAGCAGCAAGAGCAGCAGCAGCAGCAACAGCAGCAGCAGCAGCAGCAGCAGCAGCAAGAAGACCAACGTACCTGGCCGCTGCGGCTGCCTGGGGCGGCTTTCGCCTGGGAGAGAGGAGCCCTGCTGGCCCATTGCGGTGGATGTGTTGCTGCTGCTGCTGCTGCTGCTGTTGCTGCTGCTGCTGCTGCAGCTTCAGTATAATATATAACCTAGACGGGTGCAGCAAATATTCAAAAGCTGCAGCTGAAGCAGCAGCAGCAGCAGCAAGAGCAGCAGCAGCAGCAGCAGCAGCAGCAGCAGCAGCAGCAGCAGTACTAGCAGCAGCAGATCGCGAGGGAAGCAGCAGCAGCAGCACCCCCCAGAAAGGAAAAGAAAACGACAGCTGTTTATATAAAGAAGAGAGAATAAATAAATATAAATAAAAACAGCAGAGAGAAACAACAACTGCTGCTGCTGCTTCTCTACAGCACCACCCCTGTGCTGCTGCACACTCAGCCCGAACCACTTTGGTCCTGGCTGCTGCTGCTGCTGCTGCTGCTGCTGCTGCTGCTGCTGCTGCTGCTCTTGTTGCTGCTCCAGTTCCTGCTGCTGCTGCTCCTGCTGCTGCTGCTGCTGCTGCTTCTTTAGACTAGAAGCAGAAGATATAATAAATATAAATCAAAAAAAAAAGAAGGAGACGACATACATAAACATTTGCTGCTGCTGGCTACAGCAGCAGCTGCAGCAGCAGCAGCAGCAGTAGCAGTAGCAGCAGCAGTAGCAGCAGTAGCAGCAGCGGCAGTGAGCCCAGCTGCAGCAACAGCAGCAGCAGCAGCAGCAACAGCAGCAGCAACAGCTTACGCAGCCGAAATAGCTGCTCTAAATAAAAGCAGTATATAAATTAAATACATAGAAATAATTCTTATTATAAAGCTTATACATTCGCACCTTCATGCTGCTGCTGCTGCTGCTGCTGCTGCTGCTGC